AAACGTAACAAAAATCAATTGTCGCCAACCAAACGTCAATACAAGTGGTCGTGCGTGTTGCCCTCTCTTTCTGCCCCCCGCCGCACCGTCCTTGTCTAATTGCCACAGTGTGGGTACACAGTATCTGTGTGAGTATCGTCAAAATTCAGCCGCAATTGAAACTATTTGTAAGCGGTAAAGCGGCAGAGTTGAGCGAGTTCTATGAATTTAATTGTGGCGTCGAGAATGGAAAAATTCAAAAAAACAATCAAGCGACAAAAAGAATTCCGAATAAGACCATATTTTCTTCAGGAAAAGTTGAAGCCTTGATCTAAAAGCTTTAACTTGTATTGAATAAAACAGATATTAAGATATATTAAAAGATTCAAAATATTTTGAAGAAATATATTTAAGTTGTAAAGGTTGTTTTTTTCTAGAGGCAAAAGATAGTTTTATCATTAAACAATTTTTGTATATTATTGGTAATGAAATATTTAATCAAAAAAGTTCTCTATTATATCATAAAAATAAACTTTTATTTTAACCTAATGGAAAGACCAAGAATACGATATATATTACATAAATATATTTAAATTGTAAATATTTTTTTCTTAGAGCAAAAATAAGTTTTATCAATAAACAATTTTTTTTTATTTTTGGTATTGAAATGTTTAAGCAAAAAAAGTTCTATATTATGTCATTAAACTACACTTTATTTTAACCTAATGTAAAAACCAATGATACAAAGTTCCAGCCAGTTATTTAATCTTTAAGAGAATAAAAGAAAGCCATTTATTTTTTTTAATATGCTCTTGACTGACATAATGCTTTAAATATATGTGCAACTCTATTTCAATATTACCTAATACTTTTACATTTTATTTCCTTAATCCAGCACTCGCAATAAAAGGATTAATTAAGATAAGAAATTGGCAAAACGAAATATGAATATTGAAAAGTGGGATATCATAAAATGGCACACTTCACTCTATGGAACACCTAAAAAACAGAGGCAAACGTGTTTGTTTGAAGTAAATGATGCCACATATAATAAAATTTAAAAAAACTCCATGGAACAGATGAAAAAACTGGTATGCAAGTATAAATAAAAAATGCGAAAATATTTGTCGCTCGTTTTTGTATTTCCATTTTCTATTTTTCGCAAATTTTGTTGATATTTTTTTTTTTGCGCGAACAGTTGAATTGATATTTGCGAATGTTGTTGGTGTCGCTGGTGTTGCTGACTAGTTTTTTGTTTGGCTGGAATTTTTTTCGTTGCTGTGCAAAAGGTGATAAGCTCAAGGACAATGTGGCAGTTTGGCATTGCCGCGCCGTTGCTGCACTCGCCTAAAATTGTTTGTTCAATTGTGTTTATGCATATGGAAAATATCGATTTTGTTTTTGGACAACAAAGCGAGGAATGCCGAACGCAATGGCCGTCACACAATTGGCTCTATTAAGGTCGCCGCGCTGTTTAAACTTTGAAGTTGCAGCTTTGGAATGAGGAAGGAATAATGGGTCCACACTCCCCCACCTGTTGCCCCTCACTCTCTTTTTTATTTTAGTTTTTTTTTTCAGGGGATTTGGCCAGCGGTAGTGACATGGCCAAAGTTAAATTAAAAACATTTTTTATCGCCATCTCGCCTGCTTTCTTTATTTTCCCAATCCGAATCCTCGTTTGGGACACGCCTTCTATGTGGAGCAGAGCCCAATCTCCTCGGCCAGCTAAAAACAACAACTGCCTGTTGCACTGGCTATGTACTTCCAGTGTTCCAGTGCCATTCCAGTGGCCCCACCGCCCACCACCACCCACCAAACTATATGAACTATATAGTGGCGCAGGAAGGAGATGGAAAAAAAACTGTGAGAAAGAAGCGAAATACGAAAAGTAAGCACAAAAAATCCAAAGCCTCCCAATTGCGGCAGCCAACCCATCCTTCGTCCTTGCGAGCAGAGCAACAGTTTATTTTTCCACAGCATTTTCCCAGCCACACGAGGATTGGGCTAATGCTCAAATCCAACTAAGCTCTGTCGGGTTTTGTTGTAGGAAATTTGTTTAACATTTTAGGGGATTGTAAAACTTAAATAAAATAATTGTAATGACCCAGGGATACTGCTTTTAAGCATATTTCTGCTTATTCTAGTAATTGGAAATGGTCTCTTTTAATAACCACACAGAGAAAATTGTAAAGTTTTCATCTGAGAAGAAAATGTTCTTAAAAATATAACGATATTTTTAAGTTGAAAATGTTTTTATTTTGCTTGAATCAAGTTGAATTGGTTAAATAAACTCAATTTAACTTTTCTCTTCTCACCATTTCGTTCTTATATTGAAAACACTGATACCAAAATGTACTTGCACGGTTTTTAAGAACGAATGTTCTCAATTCAAGAACAATGTTCTTAGATTCTTCTCCCTGTGCATATTTATTTCAAAACTATTAAAGTAGTTTTTATAAAATTACCACAGGGAAAAGCATTCCCATCATATCAACAAATCACTGTATTTTTCATTACTGTTTATTATAGAGATAGATATTTTTTATGACATTTTTTAAAACTTTCTGTAGACCAAATCGGTTTTTTTATTAACATTATTAATTTTTTGTTCTTTTGGTTAAGTTATTTATTACGTACTTTCGTTACATTTTAATTTGATGTTGCCAAAAAAGTTTAAGAATCTTAATCAGCAATTTCTGGCCAAGCTGATTTTAATATTTTAAATGAAGTCAATTCAAGACTACAATGTAGCCAAAAAGTAGATGTCAGCAATTATAATATTTACAAATATTTAAAATGCCTGTGCTGTAAATTAAGTAATCTGCTGTGCCAACTTCTTATTAATCCAGAAGTAAGGCTTAATTTAATTCCAATTTGCTGTTTTAGATTTTTGTAATTTCCCTGAATCGCAAGCCCTTTAGTTTCCATAAAATGAATCACGCATTTCCCTGGGTGAATGGCTGTAGACCCACATAGACCCTTGGCTTTTGGAGTGTGAGTCACTCATTGAGCGATAAATGCATGGCGACTACTGCCCGACTTCCCGGAGTGGCGGCAACTTGTTGCTGCTGCTGCTGCTGCTGCTGCTGTTGTTGCAACATCTAATCCAATCCAAGGCGAACAATGGCGAATGCAAATGCAGATGCAACCACTTCTTTTTGTCTGCCGGAGGAGGCCGTGTTGCAATTGCCGTTGTGCCGCTGATGTTGCTGTTGCCCATGTTGCTGTTGCTGCAGTTGCTGTTGTTGCTGCTGCTGCTGTTGTTGCTGCTGCCTTGTGTTGATGGTCAAGGTCATGAACCTGTTCCAATAACTCGTTTCTTACGTGCAGCACACACCAACACACAGACAGACCAGGGAAGGCAGACTGGTAGTCAGATGACTATGTGTTGCATGTTGCCGGTTGCACTCCAGTCTAATGCTAATCCTGGCCAGCAGCTAAAAGCCGGGATGACTAATGGGGATCCTCTCAAATCAATTTGAGAACATGAAATTAAATTTCAATCCATCTTGTGTCGCAAATTAAAGCTGAAAACTTGTCGCCGACGTCGTTGTCGTCGGAATGAAATGCGGAAAAGCCTCAAGGACAACGGCGAGTGAAAAGAAAATTGCACGCGTGGGCGGCACGTCAGTCTGGAACACCCCCACCCCCCCCCCCCCCCCCCATTTTTATGTCCGTCTGATTCATTGTCTTATTTTTTCCCGTCTATGCAGCCTGTGTCATAAATCGCCGCAAATGAATTATTCGAAATCAAATGCAATTGTGCACAAAGCGAATCACTTGGCGAAATATCTATATAAAAACAATAATAATAAAAACATCAGCGGCAGCAGTGTTTTCCGTCTGTCAACTTGAAATTAGAAGCGCATTAATTAGAAATTTTTATTATTCTCCCGCATTTAATTCGCTTCCACTTTAGATGTCTTTCTCTATTTTATTTTTTAATTGTTATACATATATATATATACATGGTTTTTCATTCAAATTCAATAAATTTCAAGTTGACATTTATATTTGCGCATTAATTGCTTGTTAAGATTTCCGCGAATTGAATTTTTTTTGTGGCCCATAAAGGAAAACCCATTCATACACCCCTTGTAGGTGACAGAGTGTTTGTGAAAGCAAATATTACAGGGGGGACCAAAGGGGAGATTCACCCATGAGAGGCACTTGTTGGGCTTCCGAATGCGATTGTGTTGATTTCTTGCACTGATGGAAAGTTTTTCAGCTTTTCTTACATGTGCGTTTGATTTCCAAGAACTGACTATCAATTGTGTAATCAGTATGGAAAAAATGATTTGAAAGTTACTTAGGAAATTAGAAAAATTATTTCTAGAATGATCTATTGTAATTTCTTTTAAGCAAAAAGCACGATCGAAATTGAGCAAATCAGTGCAATCATTTAAGGTGAGTCACAGGCTTTAAGAGTCATCAATTTATTCAGCAAAACCAATCCCATAATAATTGGAAATTTTTTGATCCGACAGAACTTTAAACCTTTTTGAGTTAAATGAATAAATTGCAGTTAATAATAACAAGACAACAGGCTTTAAAAAGTATTTAAGTCAGGGGAAAACCAGAATATTTTAAGAGACCATTTATCTTTTATAAAACTTTTTTATCATAAGTATGTACTGCATATTACAATATATTATAGTTAATGTTACTGTAATATTTTTCCTGAGTAACTTAATTAAGGGAAATCCCCAAAAAAAATGTAAACTGAAGTGATAAGAACAATTGTATCTACACTGAAGAAAAATATCCATTACTTTCTTAAAGAGAATATATATTATACAGGTCTTAAATGAGGTATATTTAGTATACAGAAAAAAGTTAATGAGTAACTTAATTTTTAACAAAAAATAAAATAATTTAATTAAATTGTGTTTACACAGAGAGCTACCTGTAAAGTTGCGTGTGTTTATGAGTATGGAAAAACCCCTGAAGTGCTGGCTCATGCATTTTTTCCCTGTCCAAAATAATTATATGAAGTAAATAGAAAAAAATTTAATACTCACTTTTCTGGCCAAACTGTCGCAATATTTACAAACTCATCTAGGTAAATATTTTAAAAATTTGCGTTGATTTTTATTAGTAGTTCTATAAAAACTTTGACTTTGTTTATGGGTATTTGGCGTTTTTTTGTTTTTGTATATTAACTTTTTTAGTATAACTTTTATTTATGGTTGTCACAGCACTTTTGCATTTTCAGCTTTTTTTTTTTAGGTTTTTAGTGGCCTGGCATGTCAACTAAAAAATTTTGTGTCATAAGAAAAACGCACGTAAAAGGTTTTTCTCTAGTTCTTGTTGTTAGGCGGGGAAGAGGAAGCATAGGGAAGGTGTGTGCTAGTGTGTGTGTGTGGAAAATAAATAAAAAATTCGCACACCGCGACCAGCGTCAACAACAAACAAACAACAAAAACACTGATAGACGACGACGTTACTAATACGCAAGAGCGCAGGCAGCGACGCAGGCAGCGCTGCAACTGCAAAACTGCAACGCCAAAACGATCCGAATCGGAGAATCCAAAGAGGAGAATCTCGCAGCGGAGAGAGGGGAGAACCGGAGAATTGAGAACTGAGAACTGAGAATCGCAGCCGAGAATCCGAATCAGCGGGGCCGGGACCGAAGCGAACCGCTCGAGCCGACGGACAATAAAGCTAAAGCCAGCCTGCCACAGCTGAGCAGTCCGCTGCAGTTCCTCAGTTCCTCAGCTCCTCGATTCGCAGAGCGGATGCACTCACTCACACACAGACAAGCACCCTCTCTTTTCACTCACCCACAAAAGTGCATTCAAAACTCACTCAAAGAGAGAGAAACATCGCCGGCTTTTACTCTAGTATTAGTGCTGTTCATTCATGGGGCAGCTAGCCGGTAAAAAAAGGCTAAAAGCGAAATTGGTTAGCAGAGAGATGGTGGGCTATAAGACCCAAAGACGGGGTAAAAAAAAAAGAAAATGGTGGCCCAGAGAGCGCTGGCTTTTCCGCTCAAGTCGAGCGGGGAAGGCCAAGAGCAAGTACAGTGCAATTTTTAATTGCACACACACACACAGAGACAATAATAAACGCTCTCTGAGAATTTCACACATTGCAATCCGTGTTTTTCTGTTTTTTTTTTGCAACTAGCATTTTGTTCTCGAGTTTGTAAAAATTTGCACTATGTGTGTGAGTGTGTGTGTGTTTGTATTTCGTTTTTTAGTTTTTGCAGTTTTGGTGGGTTTCGATTTTAAGTCCGCGACCGAATCGCCAGCGTTCGGCACTGGAGGCGCTCACTCACCGCTCGAAATGCAACTGGCGGCCAGCTACGAAGCGAGCCGATCCGAGCCGGCTATACGTCTATATATTCCACATCCACTTCCACACGGGAGGGTCTCTTGGGAGGGGGGGCTATACGGCATAGCCTACCGTTGCACATGCACTTTTTTAGTTTTTATTTTGGTTTCCAGCTTTTTTTGTTTTCGCTTTTTTTCGATGCGAATGTCGAGTGCGAGAGCGTACTGAAATTATAATAATTCGAGAGGGGATAGTCTATCCTCTATAAAGAGTTCAGAGTCTTATGAGGAAGTTTGGGTTTGGGCGCTCTTCAGATAGTGACCCCCAAATCGAGTGATCTGCCGATTGAGTACTTGCAAATAGATCACAGCCTTAGATAAGCACTGCATTTTTCCAGGAAATATAGCAGGGTTCTATTCGCAGGTCGTAAAAGTAGAGTGCCTATTTCAAGTAAACAATCGTATCAGTGCTATAACCCAAATAGTATTTTTTGGTTCATATATAACGGAAAGTTTTTGAAGGTTGTTACAGCAAGCCCTTTTAACCCAATTTCATTCGATATGTTTGTTTATGTTGATCTTAGTTTAAATAAATAATGTTTTGAATAAAATAAATATTAAATTAATGCTTATCATTTTATTAATAATTTTTATATGTACTATAGGATATGTTACAAGCCTTTTGTTTAACCAAGTATAAAATATAATTTTAAGTAAAAAGTTTTTTTTATAAAAATGTAATAAAAACGTATTAAATAAATATTATATTAATGTTTGACTTTTTATTATTAACTTAGAAAATTTTTTATCTGAAGACTAACAATAATAATCTTTTTTTTTACCCGAGTATAAAATATAATTTTGAGGGAAAAGTGTTTTTATAACCATATAATGTTTTAAAAATGTATAAAGTAAATATTATATAAATGCTTCACATTTTTTATTAATTGTCCTACCTTTTTTATACGATCTATAAAATATTTTGAAAATCTATTTGTTTATCCGAATACAAAGTATAAAATTTAAGAAAAAAATCTGCAATAAAAAAAAAATTTTAATTGGAATTGTTAATTTTATAAAAAATGTTAAGTATACCTTGCCATAAAATTGTATTACCTGAAGTAAGCTTGAAAACTAGCTAATTTATTTGGTTAAGAAATGCAAGATATTATATTATAGCAATTAAGGCCGGACAGCTATGAGATAATCGCCTTTAATAAAGCCTGACTAAATAGTCTGAGAAGCCCAAAAACTAGAGAACTACCAATTGACCGAGAAACTGACTGCTTTTTAACCAAAAGTCTCAACGAGGAACTGATTGCGCACCTTGCCAACTGACCAACTGAGGAACTGAGGGAATGAGGGAATGAGGCATTGAGAATGACAGACTGACGGACTGAGAACAGACTGCAATTCGACTCGACTTGCAGCGACTCAATTGCATGTCATTGTAGACGAAAATATTTTTAGTTTTATTGTTATTATTTTCCTTTTTTTGTGCAATTTTTTTTTTCGGCTCAGCGTTGGCGTTGACTTGAACAACTTATGGACCGGACTGAGACAGAGACGTGGGCGGTGGAGGGGGGAGGGGCAGGGGCAGGGGCAGGGGATCTGGGGGCTACTCTGGGCCTGGCCCCTGGTCTCTGCCAGAATTTTGAGTCGTGACTGGTTTCAAGGTCCCTCAATTAATGCGAAAATTTCGTTGTAATTTTTGTGCTGCTTTTTTTTCTGTTTGTGTTTGCATGATTGTAAATGAAAGAAACAAAATTCGTGTATAATAAAAATAGTAATTGTTTTGTATTTTTTGCCTGTAATTTGTTTTGGTTTTTTTTGTGCTTTGGTAGAATTGCTATTTTTTTAAGCTTTTCTAATAAGCGAAATATTTGTGCATTTAATTGCGCTCACAATCGACCTTGAAGCAATTGTGGCATAGATCTGACATTTGTGGATTTTGAGGGGTGCCAAATGGGGTGGGAAAATTGTGGCTTAAGATAAAAAAACCCAGAAAATTAATGGTTTATTTTTGTGTATTTCCCAAAAAATACCAGGTTAAAATATTTACTCAAAATATTATGCATAAAAAGCTGGAAATGAAGTTTATTCTTATAAAAAAGACGATTTCCTTAAAGCAAGCGATAATCACCTTTAGCGAAAAAAGCCCTCAAGGACCTGAAAGCAACCCACTTTAAGTTGCATCTTCCGGTAAATCAGAAAAAGTACCAAAATACTCTCTGGCATAATTATCCTTTGAGCTTGAAGCCCTACCCACCCCTGACCAAGTTGGATGCCCACATCCGCTGGCGAACTCCAGCCGCAACCACTCAACCACTCGGCACAAGTATGCCCAAAAAATAAAAAAAGAACCATAAAACCAATGCAAAAACAAGGAGAGCCGAAAAAACAGAACTTCAAAACATAATGTCGCCATCAAGGAACACATATAATTGCTGTATTTACAAAAGATAAAATCGGCGACAACATGCACACGACCCGAACTTGTGGAAAGAAAAAAATGCAGCGGAGACCCAGTGAAATATGTAAAAAAATGGATGGATGACGACCAAGCAATTAAAATTAAAACCACGTAAGCAAATGCGACAAAAACCCCCGAAAAAGTCGTGGGAACAGGGGAAACCCAAGGGGGTGGGGGGTTTAGGGGAGAGATACTGAAAAATCCACCCCAAAGCAATTGCATTCTGTACACAAAAGATGCACGAACCAAAACGTGCAATTTGTGTTGAATGCATTTCGAAAAAAGCAAACAAAAATCGGAAAAAAGTTCCCCAAAAAAAAATGGTATGCAATTTTTGCATAATGAAAAATGCAGCAGGCAAAACACATATACACACACACACATGTGCAGTCTATAATGAAACGCACGGTATGCATGGGCATTGAAAGCTGAGCTGCAAGCCGAGTTGAGTTGCAATCCAGACCCAAAAATATATTCTAAAATTAAAATGCAACGGCCTGACGCAATGCAAACAGCCAAAGGGGTGCAAACACAGATACTCACACTCACACCAAGTGGTGTCACGCACACCAGTGCATTTCGTGCACAAAGAATGCATTTTTGTGCATCTTGAAGATACTCTTTCGAGGGGCTGCCACAGGAAGAAGGGGAGGAACGGGCCGCCTGCCCGAGGGTTAAAGGGTCCAGACTCCCAGACTCCTCGGCTCGATTAATGAACAATCTTCAAATGCATTTTTCCAACAAAATTATGCATTTCCTATGCGCTGACAAATGGGAAGGGACAAGGTAAAATACTATAACGTTAGCTATACCCTTAAAAATAACCAGATCTGATATGAGATAACCTTCATATATTTATAATATGTAATCCTAACTTTGTTAACTTAACTATTATATTTAATAAATATCTAAGTAGTTGTTTATTGGAATTAAAAACTTTGCAATGTATTTAATTTAATGATGATATTTCTTTCCGTTCTAATTACCCCTATGATAACACTGTGAGGAACCTTGAAGAAAAAGCTCTAATCATAAAAAACTAAAAAAGACTAGAAAGACTAGGTATTCATTGCTTACTTCCAATGCATTTAATTTTATGATTTTATTTATTTCCATTTTAATTACCTTCATAATAACTTTACTTATTTCCTCACTTTTAAGAAAAAACTCTAATCATAAATTAAAAAACCAAGGTATTCCTGAAACTTATGATAATATTGATGTATTCCTGTAGAAATCAGTGATTATAAATTCATTATCAGCTTGAGGAATGTTTTATAATGCACTTAATGACAGCTATAAAGAAAAAATATTTTATTATTTTATTTTAATAAGTTAGCATTATTATAAAATATTACTCATATTATTATAAAAATAATATTTATAAATACTAAATATATTTTCTTAAGTTGATTGCTAAACACTTTCATATTATCTGCTAGTATATAGTGGTTGAATTGAACTTTATTGTAAGTGATTCTTTAATAACCTGATTTTTTAAGCAAATCCTTTACCAAAAATCCCTTAAAAGCCAAGTTACCCTCTAGAAGGGCATCTAAATTGTCATCTCCCAAGTCCAGTGTGTGATTGGGCCAAATGAGAAGCGCCCAAGTGCCGCGCAGGAAGCCAATTGCATCCGTTCTAAGTCCGGACAGGCGGCGTTTGGCAACTGGCAACTTTCAACTGGCGGAACTGAGCCAAGTGCCAAGCGCCAACTGCGAACCGGAAGTAGCTGAAATGAGCTTGGGAATGAGTTTGTTCAGTTTGCTGAGTGGGCTAGGCGATGGACTAAAAAATAAACATTCTCCTCGACCGGCCATCATAAATAATGAGGCGAAATTAAACTCGCAATTAGATGAAAATCAAGATAAATCAGTTATAATTGCCAGATGCTTAGGTGGAATTAAGAA